TCCTGGTCTGATGCGTGAACTAATGTTTGGAGGAAATAACCCTGTTTTGAACTCAAAGCTAATGCCATTGGTTGAATGGTTGTTTCATGAGCCAAACCCCATTGCTCTGAATACAGCTTTAGCTCAACTTGGGGTTGTGAGGCCTGTTTTTCGCCTTCCCTATGTTCCACTTACAAAGGCAAAGAGAGAGGAATTTGTGAAGATAGTTGAGAAAATTGGACGGGAAAACTTTATTGGGGAAAGAGATGTCCAAGTTTTGGATGATAATGATTTTTTTTTGGTTGGTAGGTATTAGTTTTTCCGCAATTGGTATTGAGAAGTAAGTTTTTGTTGTTAGCGGCTTAATTTGAAAAATTTCTTGACATGAAGATATCTTCTTTATGTTGTTTCCTTACACACATTTTTCTTGATTGCTTCTCTTTTAAGAGGCATGTACATTGTAGCTGTTAGTTTCTGGACTGGATCCGTTTCTTCTGTTTTCTCTGTTTATGGACTAGATCCTGGTTTAATCTTCTCTTGACTCAGCATGTCGTGGTGTATTGGTCATCTTTCTCCAAAGTACTTTATATAGATCATGAAGAGATGAGTTACTATAATTTGTTTTAGAGGGTTGCAGTTTATGGTTTACTTTTGCAACATCAGCAGAATCTGCCTTCTCAAGATGCAAATAAATAATCATGGTCGCTTGAAATACTCAAGTATAAGCAACTTTCTGTATAGAGTTGGGAACATAAGTATATTATAGTATCGTAATTTTTCTTCTACTTATTGCTCTAAGATAAACATAAGATTAGCTCCTGTGCCTAAAAAGATTCATAAAAGATGTGACTTTAGTTCATGACTATAGCTGGCAAGATTTTACTGTTATATAGTCGTGTGACCATCTTGATTCCTCTTTAGTTTCATGTCTTCTTGTATTAGTATTGACATGTTTATTAGTCTAATCCATACCCATTTAGGGACATTTTGGAGTATATTGCTGGTCTTCCAAACATCTGCATGTAATTGAGGCATTGTAGAAAACATCATATTCCTTTGGAAATTACATATGTTATCCATTGTATTGAGGAGCCAAGGATCATATGTAACTATAGTTCATTTATGAGAAGGATGAAACAGAGAGAGGATTGAAATCAAAAGAAGAATATGCTACTTTTAAACCAAATTGTCTAGCAAATAGTCAATAGTCTCTCCATTTACCATATGGAGAAGAAAAAGACAATGTTGTATTGCCTGAGTAGATTGTCAATAGCACTATGGATTTGGCTGCCCTCACTATGATAATGATGTTAACAACATAAACATTAGTTGAACCAGAGTTGACGGATAGATGGTGACAAGAATATGCTCTTTCAAGTTTTGTATAATTGGTGAATATTTAGAGGAATTTGAACTACAAATTTAAAATATTATTGTCTTTAAAAGATGAGGGGAATCACTTGGTTTTTTCTTTCTACCAAGAGGAGTTTAAGGAGGAAGCATGTAATTTATTCTCCTAAAGTCAATTAACTTGCACATACTGTCACTTTGGTCCACTTTAGGAAAGAAAGTATTTACTCATGGTAATGCGGTGACGTATGAAAAATTTATTCAAGAAAGTACGACCAAAATTGAATTAATAAGTAAAGGTATTGGCTGAATTAGACCAGTACTATCCCTAATTCAACGAGCTCTGCCATGTGTGTGATTTCAGAAGAAACGATCAGAGACTTTGAAGCTTTACTGGAGCAAGGTAATAAATATACTACTCCCTCTTGATATCTCCTTCAACACTGTTAATTTGCTGTTCCTGACCCCTTTCATTAGCAGTTAATGAAGCACTCAAAACTACTTTTCAGGTTCAAGTTCTAACGTTCCCCTTTCCTGACTTTCTTTCTCTCTGAAGTGCCCCTTAATAGAGTTGAATTTCCTTTACTTTCTCCTCACGCTTACGCCTGTATTACTTTATCTTACTTCAGCTCTGTTCTTAGGAGTTTTAGCTGTCAGTTGAGACTAGTCATACTTAAATGACGTTAACCTGATAACTGATCCACCCTCTAGCCTTGTGATGGTTCTGAAACTCTATTTGACTTTAATCTGCATTCCTTTCCATTTCAGCTTCTGTAATACTGTAAACAATAATTTATCCGTTTTATACGGTTAATTAGAATTCTAATATTGGTTCCAGTGTGTTCTCATGCGTTTTTAAGCCAGTTGGTGCTGATTACCCCTGTGCCCGCTGCTCTTTTGTGGCACGCAGTATATACTTTTACTGCTTCTTTGTGACATGTTTGTAGACTTCCTTACATTTTTCTTTCATTTCGTTTATAGGGCCTAACAACCCAACTGATTTCTGTTATTCTTGCTCTAGTGAAAGAAAGTAATAGACTTGTCAAAACAGAAGAAAGTTAAACAAACCAAGAAAGCCTCATCATTCAGAAAAGTTCTCTGAAATGAATCATTCATTGCATACGAGAAACCCTTTTTTTTTTTTAAGTAATACATATATAGAGGAAAATTACTATGCTTATATCTTATTTGGTGAAATCAATGAATTCTCTTTGAGAATTGATGCTCTGTGAGCATTCGGTGAGGTTTCTTGCATTTGGACTAGACGATTCTGGAGCTTTGCGTTGCCAGAGTAATAGTAGCTACATTAGTCTCTTTAAAATTATACAACATCCAAATAGAACACTAAAACTGAGTCCAATAGATGTTTTGTGATTGTGACTTGTTACCAATTAAAGCTTAGTTGTCCAGACAGAGCTGTAGATGAATATGAAATTAGCTTAATATTGCTGACCACTTTATTTCTTGACATCATTGTAAGATTCATGTCATTGTGTGTGACTATTCTTAAGTTCAGTTAAAACTGTAAAGTGTGATAGACAGTTGAAATAAGATTCGTCAATCATCAAGTTTGAAAATTTGCCTTCCATGTATGGAATAAAATGGTCAGGTGTATCTGGTAACATTTTTTTTCTCCAAATGTGTCGGTCGGTTGATTCTTTGACGTTAAAGGTCGTAAATGAGATAAGATGATATTTTATTAGTGAGCATTACGGAGTCTTGTTCTGCCTGTTAAGCAATCAGGTTTAGCCTATGCTGATTGTACTCTTTAGAAACGTTGACGGATGAGTGTGATGTATAAGTAATTGAACAAGATAAAGCAAAAGATTGTTTGGTGAAGAAAGATGAAAGATTGAAAAATCAAAAGAAGAATATGCTACTTTTACACAAAATTTTTCTAGCAATAGTGTCTCCATTTACGACAAGAATAGAGAACAAAAGGAAATTGCATTTGGTTGAATGGTTGTTTCACGAGCCAAATCCCATTGCCATGGATACTTCCATATGTTCCACTTACAAAGGCAAACAAAATGAATTAGTCATACAGTGGTGCTATAAATGAAAAAAAAATATAATTAATAATAAATCCCTCATCAGCTGAAACAAAGGAATAAAGGGGTTAAAATGGGTATAAGAAAAAAGGTCTGAGCTCCAGGAAACATACTTACCTGGACGGGGTCAATGGGTGATCAATAAGGCCAATGGCCTAGGTTGGTGACCTACATTGCACTTTGTAGGGGTGCCCGCCTAAGGTCGATCCAAGTGGCTGAGCTTATGTCATAATTTGTTGCAGTGGGGGCTGCGTTCGCGCGGCCCATACCAATTCTAAAACAAAATTTTGTCAAATCTTTTTCAATTTTTTGTTGCATCTGGTTACTGATACATAGTTTTCAGCTAACTTGGGGCTAAATTATAAAAATTGAACATGTTTTTATTGGTTTATTTTTTATTTTGCACAGTGATTTTGTATGAGGAATAAATAATTAATTAGTTGCTCCCAGACGCGGCTAATATGTTAAACCTGAGATATTGAGTAAAGGCCCTATCATAAACACATGAATTTTGACGTTCATGTTTGTCACAAAAATTATTTTTTCATTGTCATTATTATCCCTGGTTCGTAGTAGTTGGTTCTTGGCTAATAAGAGAGCTGTAAAGATGTGTTTGTTGTTTATGTGGTACCATAAGTTTAAAAAAAAAATTCAAGCGAAAAATGTCCCTCATCGACTGAAATGAAGGAAAAAAGAATCTGGATGAATATAAAAGAATAGGAAGGATCTACTTTACTTAGACAGGGTCAATGAGTGAATCCTTTGCACTTTGACAGGATCCCGATAGGGGGAGTATAGGAGTATTTGGCTAGGAGCCTCCGCTGGATAGACTGAACGGAATCCCCCCCTATCACTTCATCCAGTTGATACGGATAGGGGACCACTCGTGGGGGCTGATTCGATGGACCAGCTTCGTTCCCCCGGGGAGCTACTTGAATAGCAGGCGGCACCATGGCCTAGGCTGGTGACATCTATTGCACTTTGGAAGGGTACTAGCTTTAAGGCTGGCCCAAGTGATCGAGCCTTTGTGACAGTGGGGGCCTGCATTCGTGCAACCTCTTCCCAATTCTTAAACAAAATTTAATTGAGATTATAGTTTGTGAAAAACATAATACAACTCTTCACTTGAAAGTAGTGCAGATGTGCCCTAAAAACATAGGTAACTATGCTAGTGACAAGTACTTTTTATAAATGCCCACTTAAGTTTTTGTCGGTAAAATTTTTTGTATTCTTTTGTATTTTTACTTTTTGTTGTTGTAGTGGTTCCTACTCGACCTTCAGCTAAATTACGAGTTTCACACTCCAAAAAATCACACATTCACACTTCATTATGTTAAAATAATTTTTATAGTTAAATCCTTTTGCTTTCTTCGTGTGTTAATTTTGGAATTTCCTTAATACAAATTTTGACTTCGCGCACAATTCAGCCCGAGACATTCTATGCCAACATTTCATCGATTAGATTGTGACCATATGAATTCAAAATCATCAAAGGAACATGATGGTTTGTTCATATTGATATCACACGGATGAGGCGAGTACCACATCGTTAAATGAAAAGTAAATATAAACTTTGTCGTAATATAAAAGAAACACATATATCCTTTGCAAAACTTAAGCAGCCATGAAGTGAGCACAAAGCGAATTATTCTTTCGCCTTTTACTGAAGAATACTGTGTGTGCGCTGCTCTTATAATGGCATACGCCAATTTTTGGAGGGGTTCTCTTTTTTGAGTACCCCAACAAATCTAAGATTCAACTATTTTTTATTTTTGTTCTTACAATAATTCTTGTTTTGAAGGTAAGAAAATTCTTTTAGATAGAGATTTAAAATTGCAGAATTTTTTAAACAATTGGGATGTTTTAATATTTCCAAACGTTGATCTAAAATTTTTAGTTGAAATTTCAGACTCCATTATCCAGCTTCTTCAAAGCTTGATCTTGATTTCTTCATTATCATTATCATATAGGATTGAATTTTTCTTTTTAAGAAATAAATAAGAAAAAATAAAGAGAAAATAATTAATTATTTATGAAACTCTAAATTAGTAGAAATTATATTTTTATATTTTTTATAATTAAAGTTGAGGAATTGAAACATCCTCAATGATATGACTATATGTAGATACATCATTAGGGTATAATAAATGATTGAATAATCGTATTGAAGGATTGTAATAAACCTTAAAAAAAACATTATTCAACTACTCATTGATTTCACCAAAGTATAATCGTATCGAAGGATTGTGACAAACTTCAAATAAAAATATTATTCAATTACTCATTGATACCATCAAAGTAAGTATACTTTGATGATATCAAGGAGGAAGAAAGAATCCTTCAACTTTTGATATCACCAGATTATATCCATATATTGTAATATACTGTGATGATATTGAAGAGAGAACAAAAGGATGAACGCTGATATCAATATGACGTTAACGTGCAAAAAAATTTAATATATGTCATTTTAAAATTTAAAAAGGGAATAAAAGTAAAGAAACATTCAAAAATAAATATTTAAATTTAATATGTCATTTTAAAATTTAAAAAGGAAATGAAAGTAAAGACACATTCAAAAATAAATATTTTACTCTTTTGAGAAATAATTGTTCTTTTCCTAACAGATTATGCCTTATGTACTATTCCACAAATAGAAAGTGCTAGGAAATATTGAGTATGCACCATCCCAAATGAATTACCACAATTGTTTTCTACAAGAAAATTAAGATACTTAAATTAAATGATACAAAGAAGGTATTGTTTTTTTTCTTTAAAAAACATAAGTTTTATATTTTTTATTATCTTAGAAAATGAATTGTTGTAATTATTTTTGAACAAAAGGTAAGAAACTTAAATTAAATTATTATTAGAATATCCTTTAATCATACGACGTTAAGTATTTTATATGAAAAGTCTAAATTAAAAAGTTGCAGAAAAAGAAAAGCAATACTCTATTTAAAATAGACTATAAAAGTTAAGCAGACAAAATTAAAAATAGAGAAAATAATTTTTTTTCCATAAATTTGACCATAAAATGTAATTAATTATTTTTGACCGACCTATTAAATGTGTAACTTTCCCTACATTTAAAGGAAAAATCTTTGGGAGATTTAATATCTGATTTTTGAAGTAATGAGAAAAAATGAACCACAAATGAAAACCATCACAATAAAAGACAAAAAAGATGAAGCAAGATAAATCATTCTTCTATGTCTAATATTCTATCAATCTCCCAAAATTCAATCAAATTCTAATATCTTTTACAAAAATATCTTCACTCTCTAGTTTTCCATACTCAAAGGTTCATTTACATAAGGGAAAAGGCATAAATTGCAAGCTAAACATGTTTCCAAAAGTCATTTACACGCTTAAAGTATTATAACGACCTATTACTCATTTATTCTCGTTAAAAGTGTAACTAATATCACTCCAGAACTGACGTGGAAAGAAAATTAAATTAAAAAGTAAATTAGGCGCATTTTAGTCAAAATAAAGTAAAAAAAAATTATTTTTTTGACCCCCACCCCCTGATTTCGTGCTTATCTTCTCTCATTCTCTTTTAGACTTCTTCTTCATTTTTTCTTATCTGAACTCTACAATTTCTCACTCAATATTATTATGATTTTCAACTTTACTCATACTTAATTCAGCAAAGTGATTCACCAAAAAAGATAATTTTCTAATCTAAATTTTACACAACCCATTAGCATCAAAAGCACATTAAAGAGTCAATCCCTTAATTGCAAAATATTTATTAACAAGAAAAGTTTATTGTTCCTCACCCCGACTTATCAAAATTATCAATTATACATAGCGCTGCAAATTTGATAGAACGAGAATTTGGATTTAATGATGATTTATGCATAGCAAAATCAAAATTGACTCGACAATATAAAATTGATCAATATCAAACTAAAATATTTATTTCAAGTTTCACAATCCATTACCATCAAAACACTAGTAACTAAAAAGAAATTTTAAAATAAATCATTACCAAATAAAGTTCATTTTGACCCATATTTAAAAAACCCAAAAGAAAGAAAGGTGTTTAGATAGTTTAAGAAACATAGAAATATAAGTTTTGGGTTCAAAATTGATGTCAGTGACGATGAAAAGTGGGACAAAATCGTATTGTATGATAACTTTGACTTAATTTTCTATCCATGCTCTCCATTTCTTCACGAATTTTCTAATTATATATGTTACTCCGTCGATCTTATTTGTCACAATAGTTTGTTTGATATGTTTTAAAATCAGAAGAAAGGATCGAATGGAGAAGAAATGATTCAAAATGGAGAAGGAAGGATTGAAAATGTAGTCATTCAGGTTAGAAAGAAGAGAAAAAAAATAAAGATAAAAATGGTGTCATTCATGCAAGGAAGAAAAGAGAAGATAGAGGTAAAATGGTGAGAAAAAAAGTGAAAAAATGAAGAGAGAAGATAAAGGCAAAATTGGTTAGGAAAAAAGTGAAAAAATTAAAAAATTACACGTGTATTCTTGCACATGATCTGGTAGGCGCGTGCACACAACTCTAATAAGTGTGACTGATTTTGTACGTTAGAAGGCGGTATTAGTTACACTTTTAACGAGAATAAGTGTGTAATATGTTGTTATAATACTTTAAGCGTGTAAATGACTTTTGGGTACAAGTTTAGGGAGCAATTTATGCCTTTTCCCTTTACATAATCAATTATATTATCATCAATTCAAGGAGACCAATCTATCTATATATAAAAGGAGAAGAAAAAAATATTAAATGTATTACAAAATAAGTTATTCCTCCATATTGCAAAACTCATAACATATTCTACGTTAGGCTAGTTAATGGGGCCAACTTCCATACCATGTGCTTTTGGGCAACTGAAAAACATATGAACAACCATTTCAGTTTTCAAGCCACAGACCATACAAACATTACAATTTGATGCAATCTCTTAGAAATATTTGCACTAACAGGAAGAACATTAAGAATACATTTTCTAACGAAATGTTTGTATTTGTTTTTTATTCTAAGTGACCATAAGAAAGTCCAAAAATTTTTTGGGAACGATGGACCATTGACTTGAGGTTTTTTAGTTCTATGATCAGTACTATTAGCTAGGCTTTTTCGCTAGATGATATCCAGAACTTACCTTGTCCAGAATTTATATATAGCAGATAACTTTATCAGATTTTTGAGTGCTAGGTATCGGGATAGACAAAATAGAGTTGATATCATCAAGGCAAAAGTTGTGATGGAGATCTTGGATATTCAATATATGATGGTGTTGATCTATAAGATCGCTTACCCTCAACTGTGGATTAAATTTGTGTATGTCCTTGTAGGGGTTTGAAACCAATCGAATTAGGAATCCAAGGATCACTCCAAACCTTAATGTTTTCTCTGTCTTCTACCCTCCATCGAATTCCTTGTTGCTAGGGATTTCGTCCCCACATGATACTTTTCCAAATCCAAGATCTTGTTGAGGGACATCCTGAACTCAAAAAAGAAGTATTAGGAAAATATTTACTTTTTAGCATCCTATGAAGCAAAGATTCCTCCTGGGTTAAAATTCTCCACGTAAGTTTAGCCAAAAAGGCTTGTTTAAGATCTCGAAAATCATTGGGACTTTACTTCACAGAGTTTCTGCCTTTTTTTGTAGTGCATTTTCCTTTTCCCCTCATTTTTCCTCCACCAAAAATCAGAAAAAATGATAGTAATTTCCTTTCCTAAGTTATCTAGAAATTGAAAACATCATAATGCATATGTAGGAATAGAAGAAAGTACTGACTTAAGAATGACTTCTTTGCCTTCAGGGCTTAAAAAACTACTCTTCCAATCCTTTATCTGACTTTTAACTCATTCTTTGATAAACTCAAGCATTTTCGTCTTTGATCTTCCAACTACCGCAGGTAATCCTAGATGAAGCCCCAAATTTCCTCTATGTATTTGTCCTATCTCATCTATGATATTATCTTTTTCTTTCTCGATAAAATTTTTGAAAATAAATTGTTGATTTTTCAAAATTAACTTTTTGGCCTAAGCTAAGTTCAAAAGTACTTAGAATTTCAAAGATTTTTATCGTACTTTGAGTATTAACTGAACAAAATAAAAAGGAGTCATCAACAAAGAAAAGATGATTCATTGTAGGACCTCCCCTTCTTAGTCTTATTCCACACAACTCTCCTTGCTCCTCAGCTTGGTTCAAAAGCCTTGAAAGTCCTTCAGCACATAATTTGAACAAATATGGGGATAAAGGATCACCTTTTCTTAGTCTTCCACTAGGTTGTACAACCTCAACCACTACAAAAGAAAATTCAAATTGTCAACAGATTTTACTAACAACTTAAGTTGGTTAGTATTCTACTAACAAAATATCAACATATTTCGAACTTAATTATATTTTAAAACTTTACAACGAAATTCAGACTTATTACCAACCAAAATCTACTAACTAAGTATTTTGATTGGTAAATACGGCAGAAAAAATGACGCCAAATTTAGCAACGCTCTTTCAATGGATTATCAATTAAAAGATTACCAACACACGAATTTTGTAGGTAATATTACCAACAAAGTGGTATATCGTTTGTTATATATGACAAATAAATTGTTTATATGATTATTGACATATTACCAATAAATTACTAACTGGACATTTACCAACGGCAAGATTGTGTTGCTAAATTTACCAACCAAATATAAAAGTGTTGGTAAATTAGTAGTGAAATGTAATTTTTGGTAAACTTGTCAACC